GCACACAAGAAGAGGTTTTCCTCACTGTCAGAGGGTAGAATAATTCTGTATACATCCTACATACATACTTTAAGGTTATAACATCTACATCGGTCCACCTACGTCTACAATCAGGCCAACAGATTTTATACAGTACACAATCACTGTTGATTTTTCAAACCAATTGGCTAAATCTGATCACAGAGTGTGGCCGTGTACTGCTACTTCTATCAGCAGTCACATTATTAGTAAACACAAGTAAAGACTTTTTGCATAAGTGTAACCAGCGGTTTGCACCTTGATTTAAAGCCTCTGTATTTACATTCAGTGTCTTTTGATTGCAAAGTGTTTTTGTCTCATGCTTTCAGTCATATGTTTTTGTTTAACTTCAAATACATTGCTGTAAGATGAATAGGTTAAATTATAAGTTGTATTATTGTCCACATACTCATCGACACTGTGTGTTTTAATTTAATTATGTTATAGTTTTGGAACCTTGGATCACAGCATTTGCAGATATGAAAAAGACTTGTTCGATTTCTAACCTATTGTACCTGTTATGAGCTATGGTGAAAATACCAATATGCTTAAAACACATTTTCCATATTAATGAATTTACCGAATATGTTTATTTCATACAGTATAGTAAAATAGAAATTAATACGCATGATATATGGGTTGTTATACTGTCTTATTATGCAGTAAAAATGTTTGTGTTCCCTTGTCTGTAGTGAATATAAGTTGTATTTATTTCTTTACTTATTATATTGTTGTGCAGTGTATTTAATGTAACTTCTGCTGCCCCTTGGATAGGTCTCTCTTGAAAAATGAGACTTTAACCTGGATAAAAACAGGATGATAATTATAACTACTTTTATATATTTCAGTATTGTTTCCCAGCACTGCACCACTTAGTTAGACTAGCCACAATATAAGTGATTTCTCTGTTCCCCTTTATTACCCAGTTATTTCTTTGTTCCTTATTGCCGTATTTTCTTCCAGCAGCAGGGATCCAGTAGTGTAGTATGGGCTGAATTATAACAACAAATGCATGCATACAGGTGTAGGATAATGATAACATTATATTGTTCTTACATATCACAGATCCTGGACTCTGAGCTGTTTGAACTGATGCAACAGAATGGAGACTATACCCACTTCTACTTCTGTTATCGCTGGTTTCTTCTTGACTTCAAGAGAGGTGATGCGAAACGCAGGCCTCATATTGTTTGCTTGAATCGACCGTGACTTTCTCGTGACAGCGAATATAATCTGATTTGTCGGTCTTTTGCGAACAGAAATGGTCTACGATGATGTGTTCTCTGTGTGGGAAACCATCTGGGCAGCCAAGCACACCTCCTCTGAGCACTTTGTGCTCTTCATTGCTTTGGCACTTGTGGAGATGTATCGAGACATCATCCTGGAAAATAACATGGACTTTACCGACATCATCAAGTTCTTTAATGGTAAGAAATAAAGTGAAAAGCGAGTGAAGCAATGCTAAAGGAAAAACAATCAAGTTTACCAGTATTCACTTGTAATCACTGTTAAATTAAAATAACTAAGCAGCTGGTTAAAGCGCAGAGATTTCTATAAAAATATGTTTTTTATTTTGTGACTTTTATTGTGAAATATCAGTATTTACTGAATATTAAAGGAACGCTAAATCTTTAAATATTATCAGTGTTCCTAATTGTATCTGTAAATTTTTTCTAAATACATTTTTTCTTCTCAGAAATGGCCGAGAGACACAATGTCCCCCAGGTCTTGATGATGGCCCGAGACTTGGTCCACAAAGTGCAGACGCTCATAGAAAACAAGTGATGCAGGATGCTGCTGGTTAACACCCACAATTCTTTTGTGCTAACCTGTCTCCGAGATAACAACCGAACCATGTTATTGTCGTATATTCCACAGAAAAGGAAATGATGTAAATGAAAAGCGCCGACAAGATAACCGATCATTAAAGCTGCTTGTTATTCAAAGGAAGTTGTAAAACAACTTCTCACCACTTGCTCCTCTCTGTTTTTGGGAGATGCAGTTATTGCCAGTAAAGTTATTCTTAAAAGTGTTTTTGGTCACTTAGTGAATGTACCCTTGTTGAAACTGCTTCAGGATGTTGTTTATTTTGCCTTAAAATTTGCTATTTTTTCAGGGATACAGCAACCAAATTCTTTACTGCATCGATATTCTCCCTAATGCGTTCGGTTAAGTTATGCATCTTGTATACACTTAAATATATTTTCAGTATTGTCATTTACTTAGCTGAAATTGTAGCTGCCATGGTTAAACATTTTGTGATACACTTGAATAGTTTTTTTTCAGTGATGTACCTGGTGTCACGGGATGATTTGCAAACGTTGCAGGGTTCTACCGGCTGGCTTATCTTATGTTAAATAAGTGTTTGCCTCTGATGCACACAAGATTGCAGGATATGCAGACCTGGATTCTGTGGAGCACCTCGTAATTGCACATAGTTTCCATATACTGTATCACAATTTCCTCTTTCAGCTGGTCACGCTCTCATAGTCTCCTCTCCTGTCTCCCACCTCCTCTATGCATTAGTTAAGATGATTTAACTGTTGTCTCTTATCCCAGTTAGTATTCCTCCTGCATGCTGTCATTGAAAACCTCCTTCTTCTTCCCTTAAACTACACAGTGCTGCTCAGGCTGAACACGTCAGCTATTGTTTGCATAAAATCAAAGGATAAAGACTGGTTAAAGGGATTTCCCACAGTCAGAGGTTTCTTCCTGTTAAAAGGGAGTTTTTCCCTCTTACTGTCTTTCTTTAATTTACAATGTAAAGTACCTTGAGGCAACTGCTGTTGTGATTTGGCGCTATATGAATTGAATTGAATTGAAAGCAACACAGCTTTACCAGATTTAGCTTCCATGTGATATAGAGAGTCGTGGTCGTAATTTTTCTGCTGGTGGTTATTTCAAAGAGGTAGTTAGCTGGTGGCAGTTTGTGCTTCCTTCACACGCTGCACTTCCCTTTTTCACTTTCAGAGTTAAACTCTGTCTCGCCCTGATGAACTTGGTTGTCATGACTTTAAAGCGCGCCAAATTGTTTCTGTATGCCAAAAAACCCCAAAGGCAGCGAATAGTTTAACATTTCCCGGGCATTTCTCTTCATTATTATCACTATTTCACTGCTGCTCAGAATGTCAGAGCTCTAACTTCAGCTATGAGGAAAGTGCGATCTTGATGATAAGCTTTTTACTTTTAAATGAATGGTAGCTGGTCAGTGGTATGTAGCCATGTAGATAATGATGATTTTGTCAGTTCATTTTTTTGCTGCAGTCATAGTGGATTTCATTTTTTTAGCCTTAAGACGAGAAATTATTTAAGAGCTCGGGAGTATACGTGTAAAGGTGAATATTTTAAAATCTCGGCAGATAAACACAAGATACTCTATATAGCTCGATACCGAGAGAGGCAAGTCAGAAAATATGGTTTATTGGTGCCACTTACAGTTACAAAATAGCCAAAACACACACGTCTGTTTCACTGTGGCTTAAATTCCAGTGTTTTAATATCACTGCTAATGTGTCTACATATGATCTTGCCTGAGTATTGCTGTTTGTGTATTGCTGTTTGTTGTCAGAAGATTTACAGTATACAATGTGTTAAGAAGAAACTGACTTACTGTACAAAAAAAACAACCCCTAAGCTAGTACTTATTTATTAAATGCAATACAATGTCTGTATATGGGCCTGGTCTGATTATAATGAAACAAAAGCTAAAAGTATGCCAATGGAAATAAATATATTTTTATTTTTTCTGTCTTCTAAAATGGTCACTGAGTATACTTAATTTATTGTGTATTAAAAATCTTATATTTTGCATTTAAGGTGCCCTGCGTGTTCTTTCTGGTTAAAAGAGCTTTGATCTTCAGATTATCTTGTGTAAAAGTGTTTGTAATAATAACCACTTTAGATCGTATTTTTGATCCTGATTCTTTGTTCTGGTGCCTTATTTGCGTGTCTGAAATAGGGTCAGTTTGTTTCAAGTCTGCCTAAAAACAACACCCAGATGCTTACAGGTAGTGGGCATACCTTCAGGGGTCTAGTGGAGTACACAACTCAAAATCAGCCGTCAGCAAAAGGGGGGCCGACATAACATTATGACAGCAGTCATAATGTTATGCCTGATCAGTGCATCTATTGATTGTAGATCTTGACAATGCCACGCCTGCCTTGCCATGAATTTTCTTGACTTATTTAAATTTTGTTTTTCTCATCTAGGGAAATAATTCTGTCATCATGTACTTCTGTTGGCTTCTGTAGTCTTCTTGCTGAGCTACTCAGCACATTCCTTCTTTATAAGAGTGTACCGGATGGTTTGGCCAGTCCTAATGCTTTTGCTATCTCTCTGATAAATTTGTTCGTTTGAGTTAAAACTCGGATAATTGGATGTTACCGTAGTTTGCTCACCTCAATGGACCCAGCTCTGATGTCCTGGATGGAGGAAGGTAATAAAGCTCTTTAGGTAAAGTCAGATCAGCTGCTCAACTACCCAACTTAAAACTGTCACGTAATCCTTGGAGGAGAAAAGTTGGTACTGGGATTTTCTTTTTTATATGTATGTTAAGCTGCATTAGAGGTCTAGCTTGCTCCAAACCAAACTATTTCAATATCGGCATTGATTTAGTCATTGGAAGCACAGGTCTAATAAAGTAACCTCAGGAATAATCATATTATTGCATACGTTTTATTTATTTATTTAAAGGTTATCACCCTAACTAACTAATCGACTAAGCAAATAGACTACTGGCGTAGATGTGACTGGGAATAAAACTGCAAGAAAAAAGGAATAGTTGTCCTCTGTGTCTTTTTCATGTTATGCAGTTCATTACTCTAGTTTGGGCAGAAGTTGAATAGACCATTTTTAAACTTTCAGCTGTTGATTTCTTGGAATCTACTCCATATTTTTTTTCTATATAAATTATTACTCCAGATTAAAGAAGGGAAATGTCTTCACTTTAAGTACAGAAAATAAATAAATGGAAAAGAAACTGTCACAGTAAAAGTTTGCATTTTATTGGTAAAGAAAAACCCCCCAAAAACGATAGAGATGCATACAAATTATAATCTACATTTAGACCACCTCGGTCAGCGGCCTACACGTACAAAGAAAAAACCGAAAACAAACCCAAAGGACAATTAAGTCTCACAGTCAACGTGTTACACTAAAAGGGTTCACTAATTTTACTATACTGATTAGTTTTATGGGTTCTTGGTTTGGCCAAACAGAAAACGCACCCTTTCATACTTAAAGCTACCAAGATGTGACACATGAAAAATAAAATTATGTCAATTCAAGAAGCAGGACTGCAGAAATGTGTACTTTGTTTTAAATGTTTGACATCACACTCCCGAATTTCTTTATAAAAGAAACCTCCAATATGTTACATAATGGTCAAATGGTTATCTCACAAAAAATTAACACATAATTCTGTTTCCGGATAACGTATGGGTGTTTAACAAACAAAAAAAACTCCCCCAAAAAAACAAGACTGTGGGGAGGAGCAGGTTGTTCAGGGGTTCCTGACCATGGAATGTTTTTAATCAAGAAATAAAAATGGTGTGTGCTATGAGGAGGCCTGAGGTTTTTAAAAAACAAAGCAAAAACAAAAAAAATCAAATGTAGAATTACAAAAACAAACCAAAAAAAATAATCATCCAATTCCTCTAAATGATGCGACTTTCTACCGATAATGACGAGGTGGTGGGCTGTGGTGTGGCGGAAGGTGTCTTCTCGGAGGTGGGCTATGCCGTGACATAGCATGGCGTGGGGGCGACTGGTAGCGCGCAGGGGGAGATCTTCTGTTATAGTAAGGAGAATAGCGACCTCTGGATCTGGAACGGGATCGTGATCGATCCCAGTTGGGAGTACCTCTTTCCTCATACACACGGATATAAGCCGTCTCCCCCTAACAAGAAATAACGAAAGAATTACATGACATCAGCTGCAGTTTATCATCAGAGGAACGATTAAATCTCACTATCACTAACACTAACACTAACCTGATGTGAACGGAACTCTGTCCCATCCAATCTACGCAGTGCATACTCCATGTCCTCTCTACGGAGAAATTCCACTACACCCTCTCCGTCACGCTGCACATCTGCAAAACAGACATCTCCTGCTTCCCGCATGTGATCCTTCAGATCTTGCCAGCTTCCAGATGGTGGCAGTCCTGGAACAGGAAAAGACTAAATGATGGTGTGGACAAAATATACTTCCCTGCTTAAATTTACCTGACACTTTAAACCTAAAATCTTAGCAGGAAAGGGTTTCATTATTTCTCCAAAGTGCAACTCTTTCTTTAATTCATTATTTGTATAAAGTCTGACCTTTACACCTCTTGAAACCTAAAGAAGATGGAGAAGTGGAAGACTTTGCATTTCCCCTGCCTTTAAATTGCTACAAATGCCAGGAATGACACAACCTGGTTAACGTTAAAACACTATAAAGCTAAGACCTGGATTTGTGGTCTGTCTAAGGTGCTACCTATTCAGCAAGTGTTAATTTACACTGTCTTTAATCATTAACACTTTCCATGCACAGCAGTTACTTATTAATGCCAAACCCACAGCTGAAAATACTGAGATGGTCAGTCATCCCTATAACCAGTAGGAAAAAACTAATTGACTTTTTCAAGTCTCCTGACTGATAAGTCCACCCACTTCTCCACCCAGTGTTTTAGGTGAACTACAGAAACATTTGACAAAGCACATAACATAATTAATGATACACAATGACAAAATGACACCTACCAGTCACTATAGCCGGTGTTTGGGGTTACTCAGCCAACATGACCGGTTTCACTTTACTGTTTTGATTTTCATGACCTCATCCACTTAGTCCCTTTGACTTCCAATCCGCCATGAGAGAGAGAAACATATCTGCCTATGACTCATGACGTCCTCAACTAGTCCCCTTGTCCTCCAGTCCGCCATGAGAAAGAGAGAATGATCTGCCTACGACTCATGACGTCCAGCTACCAGTCCCCTTGTTCTCCAGTCCGGCATGCGAATGGGAGAAAGTTATCTGCCTAAGACTCCTATGTCCACTTTCCTACCAGTCCCCTTGATTTCCAGGCCGTACCGAATGAGAGAGAAATATTAATTGGCTACGACTCATGGCGTCCACCTACCAGACACTATGACCCGGAATTCAGATCTTCGAGTTGGGGGTCCAAACCTTCCTCTAGGTGCTCCTCCACCACCTCCCATTGGGCCAGGTTTAGAACGGGGATACTCCACACGCAGCTTGGAGTCCCCATATCCATATCCATTCCTTCCATAGACCGCATCATCTGCATCCCTAAGAGAAGAGAGCAAAGAACTCCTTACCAAAGTACGCCTAGCGGACAAAGGTTGGATATCTTGTCTCCATCCATTCCCTGCTGGCAGTCACTGGAGACGATATACCACAAAATTTATGGTGTCCAACAAGGAGGAGTGTGATTCGAGTTGCCAAAAACCATCCGCAAAACTCACCGTGGGTCTTCAAATCGGACGAAGGCAAAAGGGATAGTGCCTCTATTGTTCTTCAATTCTATTTCACGAATTTTTCCATATTTGTAGAAGAGATCCTCAATGTCTCTCTCCTGGACATCCATGGGAAGATTCCCCACATAGATCCGGCCATCAGACATGTTGGCTGAGTAGGCGACACTGCTGACACAAAAGAAGGGGGGCACCTGCAGACTTTTAGAGATCACTTCTTGCTTTCACAAATAGCTGTGGAAGTGGTCCTTAATCCTATTCCTAGTCCCAATCCAAAACTTAGTCCATCCGCAGACAATTCCTTAATTTACACAAGAATAAAGCTTTAAAGAAGGGATGAAGCCGTGATAGTAGTAAATGATGGGCTCAAGGAAAAAAATGGCACAGGACTTCGGATCCAAGCCTGAAAACTTTAAAACACAGTGTAATGAATGTCCAACCATTTCAGTGATTACAGATCTGTTCTCTTTAAACTGAGATTATAAGCATACTGTGAGAAAAAATGTAAAAAGGTACTAAAGATTACCTGTGTGTAAATGGTAAATGAACTGATGCTTACATGTTTTTCTACTCTGCTTTTTTGCTGCAAAAACAATCTTTTCTATGCCTTTAACCTTTTTGTTTTAACAAAAACAGACTCACAGTCCAGTAGATACACTGGGGGCAACCTAGGGTTTGGTTACTTGTCCAAGGACATATCAACATGCTGACTGGAGGAGTCAAGGATCAAACCACCAACCTTCCAACTGGTGAATGACCTGCTATAACTCCTATGTGACAGCTGTTCCACTAATTACAACTGGTGAATTCCTTTTTATGTGGATTATGCTAGCATGCAATTCTGTGTGTACTAAAAAAAATGTATTTTGCAAAACCTTTTAAAAAACGTCTTTATATTTTTCCTTGGAAAATAGGAAATATGTGCCAACCTAAATGGAAATTTAAAAACCGTATACAAGGCAAAAATGTCTGTAGAATTCTAATGACCTTGAAAGTCAATATTTGATATGACCAACTTTATTCTTGAACACAGCCTGAACTCTCTGAGGGATGTTTTCTTGTATTTTCTTAAAGTAGTCTTCAGGAATAGTTCTCTAGGCTTCTTGAAGGACATTCAAAGCTCTTCTTTGGATGTTGGCTGCTATTTATTCCATTCTCTGTGAAGATGATCCCATACTTCTTCAATAATGTTGAAGTCCAAGCTCTGGAGAGGTCACTGTGTTTTTCTGTCCAGGTATGTTTTTACTGCATTGGCAGTGTGTTTGTTATCAGTGTCATGCTCAAAAATAAAGCCACTGCCAATCAGCTGTTTTCTGATTTTATGTTATTTTCTGTGTTCATCATTTCACAAATTTTTCAAAGAACTCCAGCCAACACCACTGGCTGAAATACAGCTGCAAACCATGACAGAGCCTCCACTATGTTTTACAGATGGCTACAGACACTTACTGTTGATGTACTGTGACCTCCTCCTTTCAACCAAAAACTTCAAATTTGGATTCCTCGCTCCAGAAGACCTGTTGCTACTGATTTTTAATCCAGTTCTTGTGTAATTTGACATACCTCAACCTCTTTCTCCCCTCTTTCTCTTTTCCCCTGTATAAGAATGGCTTCTTAACAGCCATCCTCACTGAGACCATTTCTGTTGAACCTTCAGTGAACAGTACATGGATCACCTGAAGGTCCAGATGTATCTTTCAGGTCTGACACAGTTCTTTGATGGATGGATTTCTTCAAGACATGACCTTCAGATCCTGTGGATATATATATATATATATATATTGGTGGGGGTGGGGGTAAGAGTTGCCACTTCTTTGGCCCTCCAGTTTCCTCTTTTTTTTTTAAAATGGACACACTGAACACCATGCAGAAATTTCAACTAAGAGCTCTTTGGTAATCACTTTGTTGGTGCCTAGATACTATTTCATGTCTGTCAAACTGTGTTATTGTTGGTGTTTTTCATGAATTCAACAAAAGACATTGGAACACATGACATGCTGAAGTAATACAGTGTCAAAAATACAATTTCAAACTGGTTCTTTGTTAAGTGTATTGTTATCCATAGACATAACACTATTCAAAGAAAAACACTGACTTTCAGAAAACCTGGAGGACTATTTCTCAAGACCACTTTAAAAATTACAAGGATGTCTAGCTCAAAGCAAAATATAAAGAAATGATGGGCAGCGCAACACTTTCTTATATTTCTACTTGTAAAAAAGGGAGCCAATAATATGAAAATTGTTTGACGGTTAGTTGGGAGGGCAGACCTCCAAAGCAACACAACAATATGAAAAACACATAAGAAAACTGGTCCAGCTTAATGCAGCTCAGCGACTACAACCATGCTATGAAGATACGTGATAAAGACACATATAGAGCACTCACTAGTTGCACTCCATATGACATGCAAAATAAATGGTGGATGAAACTAGTTAAAAAGCTCAGTTTCTATTTTATTAGGTTACAACACTCCAAAGGGTCCTGAAGAGCTACAACGTTAAGTTCATTTAGTTATTGTTAAACCAAAGAATTAAGCAGTTATGCTATCTTTTCACTTCAATTTTCTCAGGAAAGCACCACTCCACCGGCTTTTGGTCTTACATTTGACATATACTGTGTAACAACTAGTCTATTGCAGTGCTGCTGCTGGCACCTTGTGGCAATAGACACGCAGTTTGAATCGTGTAGTCCGCGATCTATGACGGCAGCTCACTGGAAAAAGGCTAAAATTTCAGATTGTTGCTTTTACACCAATAAGTGCTGTATTTTTGCCCACACTATCACAAACATAATTATTACAAAATTACTTTGAAATATCGCAATATTATCATGAGACTGTCGCCGTCCAATGTGCATTATTCCAGACTAACACTACTATTACATTTTTCTGTAAACTCAAAGACATTTAGGCTGGTGATCATTTTAAAAGCTGCCGCATAAAATTTATATACAAACCCAGCATATTGAAACAACATGTAATATTCATAAAAACGGTGTTTTGGTGGCTGTCATACAGCTGCTAACAGGTGTTTTCCGTACCCTATGCGTTTACCTGGACTTGAAGGCGTTTCCGGGGCCTTGAAAACCCCGTTTAATCGAGCAGTTGCTGAACCTACCAAACCTGTTTACCGTCCCATAGCTGAACAACTGCGATCTGACCTCAATTTAACCTAAAATTCAAGAGCTCCTGGTTAGCATTACCGCTTAGACACTACAGTCCAGATTTGTTCCAGCCATTCAAATTTGGCTTTGCCCTAAAATATCACAGTGGCTACTGCTAAAGTAGTCATAGCTATTGTTAGCAACAGGCGGCTGTAAACGAGGGGTTGCTTACATTAAAAGCAGTTCAGGTATTTTCCTTTCTTTCTTTCTTTTTTTTTTTTTTAAGTCTTGTAACACGGCCTCTTCAGTCGACCCATTCAACTTGACCTTTATATCTAGAAACTAACCCCTAGCTTATAATTTGCACACCAGCAATTGCGAAACCAGCGCAGTCCCTTTGTTGGTAACGTAAGGTCGATCAGCGAGTCAGGCTAAAAAGACTCTGGGTCGGCTACAATTTGCTAATATTTATCGCTTTCAGAGAGCGCATAGTAAGTGCATGTGGTAAAAAAAAATACTTAAAATAATAAATGTGTCTGATTACCTTTTAGAGCAGGTAAATGTGCCTGTTTGTAGAATTAATGCAACCAGTTAGCACACTCTGCTGCTTCCGCGTAAGTTAGCACATTTACGGGAGATGGCTGCGTTCTTCTTCTACAGCTTTTCATTTCCGGTAGACAGTAGCCACTGTTACATCATTGCTGCCCCCTGCTGCTGGGAGAAGTTGTGGTGACGATCAGTGAGCAGCAGCCGAGCGTTACAATGATGTTTGCTTTGAGAGGGTTGTTGGAGCAGTAGAGAGAAGATTAGAAGAACACGTGCGCGGTGTCTTTGTGGACCTAGAGGAAATATATGATAGAGTGCCAAGACAGGAGTTGTGGTAGTACACAGGAAGTCAAGAGTGGCAGAAAAAAAAATATGTGAATATGCACTTGACTTAGTCTGAAGAAAACGTGCCGCTTAAGAAAAAACAAAAGACAAAACAAAAACTACTGCAATACAGTCTCCAAACTACTTTACACCAGCAATTTGTGGTTTCTTCATATTTTTTTCCCTTGGCTGAATTAGTTTATTCGCCATCTGGAAAAAAAGTTTTCAGTTTATTATCTTGACATTTTAACTTAATAACTCAAAATTGGGTTTAGGGTTTATAGTTGGTCTGAGACTTACTAAAACAAACAAACAAACAAACAAGAAAAGGAAAATAAAATAAACAATTTTGCCCCTAACCCTAATTTTGAGTTATATAAAGTCAAGTTTTGAGATAACCAAAAAAACCCAAAAAAAACCCCAAAAAAGCTTCTATACGAAACCGAGAGGGACTAAAATTGAGAACACTGACTGCTTTGTTTTGTAACACAAACTAGTTCTCATTTCTATCCTCTGAATTAAAAGTTCATTATTAATTTAATTTTAATAGAGAGAGAGAGAGAGAGAGAATATCAACTTAAAATCTAGAAAATTTTTCACATTACATAAAAGCTATATACTGATTTGCACATCATAGAGTGAAATAAGTATTTGATCTACAAGAAAACACAAGTACCTGGTGGTGTTGCTAAGCAAGGAGATAAAGCGTTTCTTATAGCTGGTCACCACATCTGCACACATCTCAGGAGGGATTTTGGTTGACTTCTCTACAGAAACATTTAGGTTTCTTGGCAGGTGTTTGGCAACTTGAAGCTTCAGCATCCTCCACAGATTTTCTACAGGATTTAGGCTGGCTAGCCCCTCAATGACCTTACTGTTCTTCTACTTTAAGCATGTCTCCATTGCCTTGGAAGTATGTTTTGAATCATTGTCATGCTGACTGAGAGAAGGAGATTTTTTTTTTTCATGTAAGATTTTATGATACATGCCCGCCCCTCCAGTGGCCCCCTCCATGCAGCAAAGTTATCCTGTAATCCTTAGCAGAAAAACTGTATGTTTCCACCTCCATCCTTGACTGTGGGGATGTTTTTCTTTGGGTCATACTTAGCATTTCTCTTCCTCCAAACACGGTGGGCTGAGTTAAGTTCGGTTTCATCTGACCGCAGCACTCTCTCCCAAGCCTTCTCTGACTCCTTAAGATGTTCACTGGCCTGCACATGTGCCTTGTTCTGCAAGGGGTCCTTGCTGGCACTGCAAGATATCAGCCCATACAGCGTAGAGTGTTACCAATAGTATTATCAGTATTACCGTGGTCACAACTGCCTTCAGATGTTTAACAAGCTCCTCCCATGTAATTTAGGTCTGATCCACCATCATAATCTACTCACCCCATGAAGCAAGATCTTGCATCCAGAATGCATCCAGAATGAGGGGGACTGGTGACCATTTCATATCATTGCCATTTCCAAATAATTGCACCAACAGATGTCACCTTCTCACTAAACATCTTGCTAATGGTCTTATAGCCCACTCCAGCCTCGTGCAGGTCTACAATCTTGCCCTGACATCCTTTGACAGCTCTGACAGCTGATGGTTGAGAGGTTGTAATGGAAGAAACAGAGTTTTTTGGCAGGTGTGCTTTATGTACATTACAGGTTCTCCAGTAGTAAATAAATAGTAAGTAAATAAATGAATAAAATAAATTGAATTGAGTAGCTACAATTGATTGACTGACTGTAATCTCGGCCCCATTGGACACACAAACAATCTGTGGGAACCAAAATCCTGACTGGGTTGTAGGCAATCAAATGCTTCTTCACTGAATGACATGCAAATCAACTTTTATGTAATGTCTTTTTTTCTGGATTTTTGCTTTATATTCTGTCTCTCTGCATTAAAATCAAATGGCCAAATAATGAGGGACTGTTCACAAATTTAGCACTGGATCAAATAACTATTGCCCTCAGTGTAAGGCCTCCTGCTTCTCTTAAACCATCTGCTTCTCCTACTACACGACGGGGGAGTGTTTCAGGTTTTTCAATAGAATGAGGCCCTGGGTTCTTGCGTGATGCCTATCGGGGACGTGATGTAACAAGTGAGGCAGGGCGCCACCTCCCGATTCTGACATACCAGAGCGCGCTCATTACGCAACACTCCAAATATCCAATCGGCAAAGAAGTCTGCCGGTCTCAGTCTGCGTGCAGCTGCCGCTCAGAAAGGCGAAGAAGGCATGTCGTACACTAAGTTTGTAGCATCCTTGGTCAGTGCAAACTCCGGCAGCATCCGAAAACTGCGGATTTCGCCTGCGAGATGCCGCTCAACAGTCGCATCCACCAAAACTCGAGAAGAGAAGGAGCAGCAGCAGCAGACGAATGGCTGCACCGTGGTAGAGGCTGCGCCGGTTGAACTCATCAGCCAGTGTAGAAAAGCTACCAAAGCTCCGCTGAGTAAAACCCATATCGACTTCGAAAACACACAGGAAGCCTATAAGAGCAAAGGTAATATTGAGCTGCTCCGGAGTCTGTTGGTCTTCAAGCTGTGTACGTTTGACATCCTGGTTGACAAGAACAAAGAGGTGAGTTGACGGGACTGATCGGCCCGATAACGCATCCTCTGTTAACCCTACACACACGTGCGTCCAGATCAGCACCAAACCGGTGCACCGCTTTACCAAAGCTCAATGAACTCTCCGCGTTGGCGCGCTATGAATGTGTTTCCGCTTTTGACTCGTCGAGGTGAAAATGTAAAAGGGGCTGTAAACCACTCAGGCAGAGTAACCTGTTGTTTTTCTTGTCCTTGTCATGTTTTCAGTTGATGGATCTGAGCAGGAAGCTGCTTGGACAGTGGATGTTTGAGAAGCTGATGAAGATGACCTTCTATGGGCAGTTTGTGGCAGGGGAAGACCACAACTCCATCAAACCGTTAATTCGGAAAAATGAGGCCTTTGGTGTGGGGGCAGTTTTGGACTACAGCGTGGAAGAAGACCTGACACAAGAGGAAGCGGAGAAGAAGGAGATGGAGTGAGTAGCAAATACACACGTAGGCTGATTTCTCCTTAAGGACTGTGGTGC